TGGTCAATCGATCAACGATGACCCAAATGGAATCATTACCCTTTAAGGTTCATGGTAAGCCAGTCACAAAGTCCATGGTGATGTTTTCCCACTTCCATTGGGGAATAGGTAAAGGCTGTAGTTTCCCAGGAAGTCTCTAATGTTTGGCCTTGACTTTTTGGCAAGTCAGGCATTGTGAGACAAATCTAGCTATCTCCCTCTTCATGTTTCGCCACCAATCTAGCTAGCTCGGTAGATTTGCGTGAGGGAGCAAGGAGCTGCGAGACATGCAGGCAAGCGGGCAACACACAGAAACAGGAAACAAAGAAAACAAACAGGAAACAAAGACAACAAACAGAAAACAAAAACCCAAAAAAGGCACCCGAAGGGCTTTGTCGCCGACAGACCTCATGGGGTCATCGGAGCAGGGAGCAGGCTGGCTCCATCAGGCTTGAGCCGCCGGAGAACCCAACCGCTCAAGCAGCAAAACTTGGAAGCCCAAGGCCAGAGTGGACATGCCATCGATTGTCCTTACTGGGTTGAAAGAACCCAAATCTAGGTTTGAGAGGAAGAAGAAGAGGGGAAGAGAGGAGAAAGAGAAAGAATAAGAAAAGTTAAAAAAAGTCATGTGGGCCCCATTAAAAGGGAAAGTTTAAAAGGTGATAATATGATGTATAAAAAAATATGCCACATGTACAAAAAAAACATGCCATGGTAACAAAATTTTCATTGTTGGATTTACACGTCATTAAGATTCAAAAAGTTTAATATTTTGTGGCATATTAATTAAAAAATTAGACCAAAAATTAAAAAATTAAAATGGATAAATTGGTCAATAAAATTAAAAAATTATAATCCGCCAGCGGTTTGATACAAAAAGTTACATAAACTAGCTTTTTCAATTCGCTAGCGATTTGGACTCTAACCGCTATCCACTAGTCTCAAACCACTAAATAAAAATTTTACCAAACACTTTACTTGTAGCGGTTTCAAAATATATAAATTTACCAAACACCTATATTTAGCGGTTTAAGTAAAACTGCTAACCGCTATCCCAAAACCGTTATACCAAACGGGGCCTTAATGTTTTAAAACTTAATTTGGTAACTGACCCGTTTTTAACCTCTGTTCTGATTCAAGTGGTTTAATTGCCTAGTTCTATCTATCAATTTAAAATTGACTTTTTTTAATATTTTTAAATATTTTATTGAAAATGCTATAATTACATATTATATGATATTATAAGTTTAATTAATTCTTTTCATTTAAAAATTTATTTGTAATATTATAAATGTAATATCCTAAAATTTTGTAATATTTTAGCACTTAGTTAAGGACCTTTGTGTGAGAAAATATTGTTTTGGGGCTTAATAGCAAAATTTTTAAATTTCAAGGGGCTTAAAAGTGAAAGATATTAGGATAAGGATCGGAGGATTTTTTTTCTTCCCAGCCTTGCGCGTTTCTGCTCTTCTTCTCCTTCTTCTCACCCGCTGTAGCCCCAAAGAGAAACCCAGCCACCGACGCCTCTTCCTCTTGAGGAAACCGGTAAGAAGCTTGGTTTTTGCCTTTCTTTTCTTGTTCAAGAACAAGATTTAGGAGCTTGAAATCTTTCCTCTCTGTAGAAAATCTCGGATCTGCTCTGTTCTTCCTCCCCTGCTGCCGGTTTCAGCTTGGTGAGGGTGGGGATCTTTCGGTTTTTTGGTAAGGGAACTACCATGAAATCATCTCTTTAGCTTTGATTTGGCTTGGGTTTACTTTAATTCCTCTTGGTTCTCCCAATTTTTGGTAGCCCCGTGAGCTTCCCCTGCATTGCCGCCGGCCTTCCCCCAACTGCAGCTCCGGTTTTTGCTGGAAATTCTGGTATGTTGACAGCCCCTCCAAGCCCGAAATTTCATCAATTAATGGCTGCCATGTGTGTCCGAATTTTTGCTGGAAATAGGGGAGAAATTTGACAGTAATTAGACCATGATTTAGCTTAATTCATGTAGAAAATTAGTGTTAATTGTTGTGAGATTTTGGAGAGAAATCCCGTGAGATTAGTTATGGTTTTGCCAATTTATGGAAGTGCAGTTACTGTTCATGGTGTGATTACTGTTCACGGGGTGATTACTGTCCACGGCACTGTTCATGGGTACTGTTCATGCACTGATGGCCAACAATTAACAGGGATTAAATGATTAGTTTGTAATATAAGAACAAATTTGGAGATGTTTGGTCATGTGGAGATTGATAGGAATAGCATCGTGATTAGGGGGTAGTCATGGTGATTTTACTTTTGAATCTGTGGTACGGTAATTAATTCCTGGATATTTTGATTAGGTTCCTGATCATTCTGTCAGTTTAACACTAAAATCGAGTCTTCGGTTTTATGCGAGTGAGGTAAGTAAATTATGGTAATGCCCTTCGATTTTAAAAGTATGTTTTGACTTGTTTTGAAATGGTGGCGGGACTAAACCCGTTTTACATGAGCATGACTGATTTGAAGTGAAATTTTTATGCTTTTTATTAAATTGAGCATGCCTACTTGAAATTTAATTGATTGTCCTGATGATTTGAAAGCGATTGGTGAATTAT